TGTTTCAGGTTTCCTGGAACAGGAGCCATGGTGTGGGTGCTGGGAATTGAACCTGGGTCCTTGCAAAAGCGCAACCACCAAGCCCTCTTTCCAGCCCTAGATGTGTTTCTTAGTTATCACAGCATATAAAAACAGACCAATCATTCAGGGTACAATAAAAATTTTGTAGAAAATTTTAAAAAAGTAATACCAATGTAATTGTAAAGGATTTCATTTTCATGTTTAATTTAAAGGCCTATTCTGGGATAAGGGAGTCCTTGTTTTTCTTGTATTGGGCCCAGGATTTGATCCTCAGTACTGAATAAAAGGGAAAGTGGTGGTTGGTGCTTCTGATTCTAACCCTGGGGAGATGGAAGCAGGAAGAGGAATAGTTTAGGGCCATCAGCTGTACAACTCAAGAACAACCTGGGCTATGTGAGATCCCATCTTAGAAGTCAACAGCTTTGGTGCTGGAGGGATGGCTCAGTAGAATACTTGTTACTCTAGCACAGGACCAGGTTGGTTTCCCAACACCCCTACATGGTGGCTTGCAAGCACCTTAACTCCAGTTCAGGGGTTCTGATTTTTCTGACTTGTGGAGATCAGGCAAGCAGAGGTGGGTGTATTTCAATTCCAGGACTACACAGTGAAATACTGAGGAAAATTCACAAGTAGTTCCCCCCCCCCAAAGATTTTATTTTGCTGGGCGTGGCTGCACGTGCCTTTATTCCCCGAACTGGTAAGAGAGAGATGGGTGGATTTCTGAGTTTACATGGCATGTATGTGTGTATGTATGTGTATGCCTGCTGCCGTGCACCTGTGGAAATCAGGACAACTTTGAGGAGTCAGTTCTGTACTTTGCACTGTCACGTGGGTTCCAGGGATTGTGTTTAGGCAGTTAGGTTTACATTGCAAGCATTTTATTCCTGAGCCATTTCACCAGCCTGCAAATACTGTTTTTGTTTGTTCTGGGTCCTCACGTGTGCCAAGTGTGTTCTGTACAGATTAGTAACTTAGTTACCAAGTTTACTTAAAGATAAGTGAAGAAAAGAATATTAGAAAAAATGAAGGATAATGTACCTATAAATTATTTAAGGCAAATGCTGAGTAAACATTTCATTTTATGTGGGGAGGGGCAACACTGGAAAAGTCAGCAAAGGCTAAAATAATTTACAGTAGCTCCCAGAAGTGCCTTTCAGGTCAGCCTATTTACTTTTGTCTTTGGTATTTGGAAATACTTTAGAAAATGACAGGAATTTGTTGCAGTCTAGTTAAAAAGAACCTTGCATACTAAACACTAAGACCCTTTTTATAAAGATACAAATCTTGGGCCAATAAGATGGCTCAGCATATAAAGATGTTTACCACCAAGCCTGACAACCTGAGTTCAATCCCTGGGACCTAAATAAAGAAGAAACTGATTCCTAAACTTGTTCCCTGATACTGGTCCCCTGCTCCCAAGAATGCATGTTCACACATGCACACAATAAATTAAAAAATTTAAGAAGAGAAAGCTCCAGATTTGGATCTTTTATTATTTGAAGTTGGCAGGAGAAGAGTGAGCATTACTCGGGTTGCTGAAGACAGGAGAATCCTATATAACAAACGTCCTTGGTATTGTGTTGTGTGTTAAATAGACAAGTTCTCTCCTTTCACTGAGTAGAGGGTTTGCATACATCAGTCTGAGATGGCATGATGAGTGTGCTACAAGATAAGTTTGCCTGAGGCTCCATAGCAAACAGAGCTGGCAAGCTGGTACTTGAAAAATTAGTAAATACTTCATGTTTTTCTCCCTAATTCTTTGCTTTTATGTTTTCTAAAATACTAAGCACCTTGCAAACTTTTGTTATTAGCACTGCTTCAGTTATGCTGGCAATGTAAGGTCTGTTAAGGGTGCCCATTTCACACATCTTCTGTTTGGAAATCATTGCATTTGATAATAAATGGGCTGTCTGCATATTTTGTAGGCTTTTCTGATTCCTTGTCTACCAGCTACGTCCAGTCTGTGGCTGAGGATAGCTATGAATGTGACCCAGCACAAAATAATTGTTACCTAAACATGAGTTTTGGGGTGGAGGTGGGTATAAACTCTATTGAACACTTTTCATGTGTAAAATTTGTAGATGACAATGTCTAAGGTAGAATGTCCAACACTGTAAACTACTGTTTTCTCCCTCCCTTGTTGTTTGGCCAAGGAATATTTGCCAAAACATTTTATAAAACTGTCCTGGGTCAGCAAGACAGTAGTAGTAGGGAGAGGTGCTTTCAAACAGGCCTGGTGAGTTTGAACACAAAATTTTTTTAAAAAATCATGGTCCTTTTACATTTAAGAATTTGAGCTGGAGAGATGGCTTAGAGGTTAAGAGCACTGGCAGCTCTTCCAGAGGTCCTGAGTTCAATTCCCAGCATCTACGTGGTAGCTCACGACCACCCATAGTGGGATCTCCTGCCCTCTTCTGTTACATGTATGTGCAGCTACAGCACTCATAACATCAAAAAAGGAAAACAATTATGATAGGTTGGTAAAATTTCTCTCACAGTTAATTTTTATTAGCTGTAAAGATCCCAGTATACATAGTCTCTTGCTCATTTAAGATGATTTCACAAATATAGCACAATTTGAGGAACGCTGCATTATTATACTCCATAAGAAAAAATATTACATGCTAAATTAATGTTTTATAATTCCTGATTTTTCAGAATTTTCACTGCAGGTACAAAATTACAGGGACTTGGTTTTTGTTAATTTTAAGATGTAATGTTTAATGGTAAATATACCTAAGTACACCATGATTTATAGTTTATTTCAACAATGTTTTCAAACACTTATGTAACTTTATTTATTGACCTTGTGAAAGAGCCCATAATCCAAATGCAATTCATAATGGTGATGTCTACACCATTAACAACAAGATAAAAGTCAGATCAAGTGATGGCTTACTTGATTTTAGCGTAATTGAGAAAATAACATCAAAAGGCTCATGAAGCAGATAATACACATTTAAAAATAAACATTTTGTTTTTTTTGCTTACAATTTTACTTTTTTACGATTAATACAGGCAACATGGTTCTTAATACCTTTTTTTTTTTACTTCTGTCTATAAAAATAAAATCTTTAACAGTCCTAAATTACTTTTTCCAATAAAGATATTATTAACCATTTTAAATGGTAGGAAGTAACTGATTTTAAAGTCAGTGGCACAAATTACATACAAGATGACGTAACAAATACAGTGTTAGGTAAGGATTTAAGAGAAGAGTACAGTACGGGCTGTCTCTAAGAGGTAGAATTCTTAATCACAGTCTTGCAGAAAAGATGCAGGAGACTCAGTGTACTCTGCTTATCAGTTATGGAGTCTACAGCTGGCTTCTCTTGTATGTAAAGTGGGAAAGGGGGCGTTGCTAGTAATGGTCTCATTGACCTTTTGTTCTCTATGTGCTGGATGAGCTTTGCTTAGAATACTGGAGCATTTTCTTGGCCAGTTAGTGGTCATATATGGCATTTACCTTATGTTTTGAAAAGCCTCTGATTAGGGAAAAATAAATTTCTGTCTTCCCCCAAGGGCCCTATCTCTGTTACTATTCTAAGTATAAATTGTAAATGAAGTATTTCTTTGGGTGCCATATTTGTTTTGTGTGTGTGCATGCATTTGCAGGATGGTAGTGCAAGATCATTATTGCTCAGTAAGAATTATGGCAATATACATATATGGGCTATATATAATTATATACATATACATATACATATACATATACATATACATATACATATACATATACATATACATATACATATACATATACATATACATATACATATACATATACATATACATATACATATACATATACATATACATATACATATATATATATATATATATATATATATATATATATATGGGTTCAATACCCAGATTTGACTGGATTATTTCTAATTGACAATACATTTATCATAACTATAGATGGGCCTAACTTAAGTTCTGTTTCATGAGGTTAAAATTACTAATACTTGAATAATAAATTAGAAAGACAGCATTTTTTTGTGTATTGGCTTTTATATCCATCTTGGGTGTTTATAATCTGGGATTGTTTTAATCCTTCAAAGTCAGTAAGTGATCATAGGTAATTTTGTGAAAGTTATAATAAAAACTATAATAAATATGTATACCCAGTGCTCAATCTTATGGTAGGATGTACATTTTGTAAAAATCTACCCAAACATTTATAATTCAAAACAGTAACTAGAAAAATAAAAACTATGAGAAATACAATTTCTTCCAGTGCACTTCAGATTATTCTGTTTTCCAATTAGAATTGGATTCCAGATATCATGGTTTTATTTTGGTGAACTTTTGGTATCTGGTGTTCTCAAGTTTATTTTGGTTTTTTTCTCATGGCTCTGATGGTAACAAATATCAAAACCAATTGCTATTGGCCGGGTGGTGATAGCACAGGCCTTTAATCCCAGCATGGGGGAGGCAGAGGTAGGTGGATCTCTGAGTTTGAGGCCGGCCTGGTCTATAAAGTGACTTCCAGGACAGCCAAGGCTACACAGAAAAACCCTGTTGGAAACAACAAAAAAGAAAACCCAATAGATGTGTAGAAACCAATAAAACACTTTTGATGGGTAATATAAAAATACATTCATCTTATCTCAAAGTTAATCTTAGCTAATGTCTAGACAGAATGCATCCTATTCATAAACATTAACTACCCTTTATCTATCTTCACATAAGAAAACCTTTGTAATGGTATTTCAAAGAAAAAGACATTGCCTAATTTTTATGAGGAAAGAATGCCTTTCCAGTTTTAATTATTAAAAATGTCAGCTTTTGGAAATGTAGACTAAGTATATAAAAACTAGTACTTTTGGATTTGGTTATAAAAATCTTAAAAATAGCTGGGCAGTGGGGGGGTACATGTCTTTATTCTCAGCACTTGGGAGGCAGAGGCAGAAGAGGATCTGTGAGTTTGAAACAGGCCTGGTCTACAGAGGATAGCCAGGGCTACATAGAGAAACCCTGTTTTTTTGTTTTTTTTTTTTTTTAAAAAAAAAAGATCTTAAAAAATATAATTTCAGTGGTATACTTACCTCTAGTTACTTTTTTGGAGAGATGATCTATTTAGTTCTAATAGAAAAAACTGATCTATTTCCGTTCACAATTACATAATTCTCAAATGACTTGTAACCTAAGTTTGTACCTGCCACATTTACAGAGAAAGCTCTGGGTGAAAGCAAAGTGGTGGTGTGTTTATGAATACGTTCATTCATGTAATTCATATGATATTTGGGAAATATTTTTGAGCATAGAAAAATAGCTAATATGGCTTCATTCAACTAAGTCTAAATTTTATATGATATTTAGTTATACACTTAAGTTTATAACTGGGTCAATAAAGTTATCTGGACATAAAATGAGGATTTTCCTTTTATATTAAATTTTACATATCTTACACTTATTTTCTGAAAATGTTATGGAAAAGACTGTTAATGACCTTGATTGTAACAGTGTATTAGAATGTGCTGCTTCTTGTTTATTTCAATGTTAAGTAATCTTGTTGGAGTTTTAAGTTCTACTTTTCCTCTTATCTTCAAATAAACTTTTCAGCATATAGACCTGAATAGCTGACACAACCACCATGACCATCAAATTAACCACGGACCAGAAGTTGACTCTGTCAAAGTTGCTTTCTTGTATGTTTCGATCACGAGCTTCAAATGCTCTAAGCAGCGTTTGTATGTGGCCACTTTTGCTTAGTCTGGACTTGATGCTGTTGATGGATTCCTGGAGATAAATATAATTTTACTATTAAAAATACTAAGAACAAGTTCCTTTAGTAATATGATTCATGCTAGTTTTTAAAATCAAAATATATAAGAATACAATTCAATTAAAGGGCAGGTATGACATCACTTGGAGATCCTCCATGAGGCTTTAAAATAGTAATGATAAATTTAACAGGAATAAAGATACCATGACAAGATCAAAGTATTTGAGTAGTATGCACTAGGACTTACTTTTATATGTATTATCTCTCACATGGTTCTGACAACCATAAGCTTTTTTTTTTTTTTTTTTTTTTTTTTTTTTTTTTTTTTTTCCCCCATGTTTTTTAAAACCAAAAATTTTTTTTTTTTTTTTTTTGGTTTTTTCGAAACAGGGTTTCTCTGTGTAGCTTTAGAGCCTATCCTGGCACTCGCTCTGGAGACCAGGCTGGCCTCGAACTCAGAGATCCGCCCACCTCTGCCTCCTGAGTGCTGGGATTAAAGGCGTGGGCCACACCAAGACATATTTTAAATTGAAGTTTTTAAGAGATCAACTGATTATATTTTTAGTTATTAGTCAATTTTTACCTAATGCATTGTGTGTCTATAATATTTTACTGGTTGAATGTTTGTTATGTCTTCTAGGGAGGTCCAACACACATTTTAACAGATGTCTGGAGTGATATAAGAGGCATAAGCTATGAAATGCCAGCAAACCTTGCACTGAAAAGAGTCCCAGAGCTTTCAAAAGCACTTGTAAGACTTTAGACATGTGAAATTCACTTCAGATTTGTGACCTCTGAAACTATGAGAAAATAAGTTTGTTTTTCATTTTTAAATTGCACAGTTTCTACAAAAGTATTGTTGTAGAAGCATTCATTTGAGGTAAGTGATTTATAAAACTAATAAAACGATAAACATATGCTAAAATTGAGATCGAAATGATGTAAAAAATATGGCAGAAACAGTTCTTGGCAAATACAGTTATGAATGCTTAGTTCACTCCCTGTCATACAATAAAAATCTCTGGCTGCTGAACTGTCAATATTTATGAAAAGGTCATACTCACCAAGATGTCCTCCAGTTTCATCTCTAGCACATCTGTGCCAGTAATATATTTTTTCCAGTCTTCTTGTTCTTGAGCCTCTTCTCCCATGTTATCCAGGATCAATTCAAAAAAAATTACCTTCTCAGAAATTGTGCTGAATGTATTATCAAAGCAGAACATGTAGTCTCCAACTTCAGTTTCTATACTACATTAAAACAAGGGCACACTTTAGTATTCTGTACTTCCAACCTGGACAATGAACCATATATTCAAATACTTGCAAATTATACATACTTGAAATTTACTTGGTCAATTATGTTAAATTACTTTTTTTTTTTTTTTTTTTTTTTTTTTTTTTGGGGACAGTCCTGGCATACCCTTTATAGACCAGGCTAGCCTGAACTCAGAGATCCCTGTGCCTCTGCCTCCCTAGTCCTGGGAATAAAGGTGTGTGCCACCAATTCCCTGCTTGCTTGATCTAAAGTTCTTTTTCGTGGAGGAAAAGAATGGGATTCAAAGTTGAAATACATGGTAAATCATAATAAGCTTTAATATTTACAATTTAAAGCAATTTTATACTGAATTCTATTCATATGTCAATATAACAAACAAGCTCCCCTTCAATAGAGATTAATCAAAATTAGTTTTCAAAAGCAGTGATCGTTGGAGCTGGAGAGATAGGTGGCTCAGAACCACACCTGTGGCTTACACCCAACCCTTAAGTTTCAAGGGATCTGACATCTTTTTCTGATCTTGACAGGTCACATATACACAATATTTTGTTTGTGTTTTCGAGACAGGATTTCCCTGTATGGCTTTGGAGGCTGTCCTGGAACTCACTTTGTAGACCAGGCTGGTCTCAAACTTACAGAGATCCGCCTGCCTCTGCCTCTTGAGTGCTGGGATTAAAGTTGTGCCCCACCAACTCCTGGAGCAACATTTTTTTTTTTTTAATCAGTAATTGTAGAAAGGGTTTTCTGTCAGGTTTCTGACATATTAAATGTATTCTTAAAATATAGTTTACAAGGATAAGAGATGAGGTCTGTAGCCAATAACTGGAACTCTACTCTCTGTGAGATGACCTGTATTGAATAAATGCCATTCACATCTAAACTGAACTTTTAAGTTCTTGGTCTTGCTGGCCACTGTGGTTCTTGTCTATAACCCCAGAATTCAGGAGACTGAGGCAGGAGGGTCGCTGTGACTTTGAGGCCAGTCTATGATACAATGTGAGACTCTGTCTCAAAAAATTAAATGCTTTGAGACAGTATTACTATGTAGCCTTGGCAGGCTTAGAACTTGGCTATGTAGACCAGGCTGGCCTTGAACTTACAGAGATCCTCCTGCTTCTGCCTCCTCAGTACTGAGATTAAAGTGTATGCCCTACCCCCCCCCAAAAAAAATTCTTACTACCTTCACAATTCTTGATTTGGCCAGAGTTTATTTAGTGGAGTGGTTGCTTGCTTGCTTGCTTGTTTGCTTCCCTCCCTCCCGCCTTTCTTTTTGTTTTGTTATTCCAGACAGAGTTTCTCTGTGTAGCTTTGGAGCCTGTCCTGGAACTCTCTTTGTATACCAGGCTCAAACTCACAGAGCTCTGCCTGCCTCTACCTCCCTTGTGCAGGGATTAAAGTCTTGGGGCTGTGGAGTCATTATCTAACCATTTCTGTGCCCCCTGCTGTTTAGTGGAAAGAAGCCCTACAAAGAAAACCACTCTACATGGTAATGATATTTATTACAGTTGCTCCTTATATTTTTGGTTGTGAGCCTAGCCTTTAAGGGCTGAGCCATCTCTACAGTTGCCCCTTAACAAAACAAACACCATTTTCTTTTTAAGAATGGCAAAACTACATTTTTATAGTCGATTCATAGAGTAACTAATCTTTGTTTAATTATCCCACAAGAGACTGGAATAACACTTTCAAACACTCATCTAAAATCAACACGAGACACTGGTAGATCTACTGGGTTAAATAAATATATTCTGTGAGAATTCTAAATTCAGGTAAAATTTTTCTTTATAGTTCTTTTTATTGAGCCAGAGAGAAATTATAAATAGCAATGAACCTAGTATGTGTATTACCTGAATGGATCCTGCTCCATACAAAAGGTAATTTTCTTTAGTGAAAATTCTAATAAGGGCTTAGATGTGTAAGAAAGATTTTCACTTAGATGAATCTTTCTGGATGCATTTACACTGCCTGCCACTCAATTTTCAATTTCCCAAGAGAGGCTTCGGTTGGTATTGGAGGGTCTAAGTGGGGATGGGAGTCAGAGTTGCTCTTTTTGTTAAACAGCATTAGATTAAAAAAAAAAAAAGATATCTGGGAGATGTAAAGATAAATTAATGAAAAAAAAAAAGGTATTATGTATACAGTGTTCTGCCTGCATGCTAGCCAGAAGAGGGCACTAGATCTCATTATAGATGGTTGTAAGCCACCATGTGGTTGCTGGGAATTGAACGCAGGGCCTCTGGAAGGAAGAGCAGTCACTGCTCTTAACCTTTGAGCCATCTCTCCAGTCCCCCTCTGATATCTTTAATGAATCTTTATTGAACTAGAGGACATTAACTTGTACTTCCTTATATCTCAGCATATCTTGACTGTATTTCTTTTGATTGACATTCAATATTATATAATTATGCTTGGCAGAGGCATGATCTTCAGTGAAACTCAGATCTACTTGGCACCTGTTAATTTTGGGGCAAGAGTCATTTATCAAAGGATGCTAAGAATTTACTGCAATTTAAAAGTGCCTAAAACAGTTGGGTATGGTGGTGCCCACCTTTAAACCTGGAAGGCAGAGATGGGCAATTTTGACCAGCATGGCCTACACACAGCTCCAGGACAGCCAAGGACACATAGAGACCCTGTCTCCAACAAACAAATAAACAAAGCCTACAGCTGCTGAGGGGATGCAGCTCCGTGACTGAACCTTTGACCAGCACTATTCGTGTATAATGTTCAGGTTTCACTGTCGTGCCTTTTTCTAGTCATTACTGTGAGTGAGGGTGCAGTGAAACTACTGTCCACTCCATGGATTGAAACTGTCAAAGTCATGGGATGATGGCAATGCCCCTTCAGTAAAACAATTCTACAAATAATGGGAAACAATTACTGTTTTCCACAAGGAAAAAAAAAAAAGCTGTTCTTTCTGTTCTTTCTAATATCTACCCTGGGAACAGTGACTCTGCTAAATTCCTACAGCTGTCCTCAAATGTGCCCTTGTTAGAGTAGGTATAGCCTTGTTGGAAGAAGTATGTGACTGGGGGTGGGCTTTGCGGTTTCAAATGTTCAAGCCAGGCCCAGTGTCTCTTCTGCTGTCTGTCAATTCTATCTAGATGTAGAACTCTCAACCCCTCCAGCACCATGTGTGCCTGCACACTGCAATGCTCTCTGCCATGATGACAGTGCACTAAACCTCTGAACTGTAAGCCAGCCACCCAATTAAATGTTTTCCTTCATAAGAGCTGCTGTGGTCATGGTGTTGCTTCACAACAATAGAAACTCCAACACAAAACTTTTTTTTTAAGTTGACTTTCTCAGATATTTTGTCACAGCCAGAGCAAATATTGGAGAACAGAATGAGGAACAATTTTAAAAAGAGACAAAGGATTATTTCCCAAGAAAAACTTTCCATCATACTCAATGTATATCATCATATGTACAACAATTGTGAAACCAATTCATCACATGTCTAACCTATGGCTCACAGGCTGCGTGTCCTAATGTGTCAGAGGATGGCTATGAATGCAGCTCAATGCAAAACAGTAAACTTGCTAACAAGATTGGTTCCTTTTATAATTTCTTTTTGTAACTTGGTTATGTAGTTCTTGAGTGTAAAATCTGGAGACATTATTGTAGAGTCAAAAGGTTGGATAGACCTATTCCAAAGGGGTATGATAATGCTCCAAAAAGGGCTGTATGTATCTATGTGTGTATCTATGTGTGTATATGTGTATATATATATATACACATATATCCTTCAAAGTTAAACCTTTCCTGAGTGTTTTATTATTGTCAATAGGCTTTCCTAGTATCTCAAAAGCAGCAGGAATTCACAGGCAATACAGAAGTAGTATGCAAGAATGACACTAAAATTAGTGGCCAATAGATAGCTTTTTTTAGAGACCTGGCTGATTGCCTGATCTTTTTCTTGGGGGAGGGGAGCTGAGACAGGGTTTGTTTGTGTAGCCCTAGATGTCCTGAAACTCACTCTGTAGACTAGGCCAGTCTCAAACTCAAAGAGCTCTGCTTGCCTCTGTCTCCTGAGTGCTGGGATTAAAGGCACAGCCACCAAGGCAAGCTTTATACATATTTATGTTTAATCCTTCGTATGCAAGCTTTATACATATTTATGTTTAATCCTTCGTATTTTTCTGAAGAATTAAATAAAACTAGATTATATTTTATTATTTGAGAAGTTATTCAACCCTTCATTAATCATATTAAATGCTGAAAAATTCATTAATATCTGAACAACTAAGTAGCTAATATTTTATGTGTATGAGTGTTTTGCCTTTGTGTACATATGTATACCATGTGTGTGTTTGGTGTCTATGGAGGTCAGAAGAGGATGCCTAAATCCCTTGGGAATGGAGTTGTGAGAGCTGTGAGGCACCATTTGGGTGCTGGGAGCCACTTCTGGGGATCTGATAGAGTTCTGGCTTCCTCAGGTACCTGTTACATATGTGGACCACATACATGCATGCAAGCAAAACAATCATACACACAAAATTAAAAAAAAAAAATATCTGGGCAGTGGTAGCTAATGCCTTTAATCCCAGCCCTTGGGAGGCAGAGGCAGGATGATCTCTGTGAGTTTGAGGCCAGCCTGGTCTACAGAGTGAATTCCAGGATAGTCCAGGCTACACAGAGAAATCCTGTCTCAAAACTAAGAAAAAAAAAGAGAGAGAGAGAGATAAAGAAAAAAAGAAAAACATGATGTTAGGATTAAATACCTTTAATCCTAGCATTCAGGGGGCTGGAGAGATGGCTCAGAGGTTAAGAGCACTGACTGCTCTTCCAGAGGTCCTGAGTTCAATTCCCAGCAACCACATGGTGGCTCACAACCATCCATTATGAGATCTGGTGTGCAGAAATACATGGAAGCAGAATGTTGTATACATAATAAATAAATCTTTAAAAAAAAGGGTAAAAACCACAAACGCTATCTAAAATAAATAAATAAGAGGCAAAGCAAGCAGATCTGAGTTCTAGTCCAGTTAGTTACATGCTTGAACTCCTGTCTCAAAACAAAAACAAAAGAACATTTTTCAGCCAAAAAGGCAGACATAAAATGTTACAGTAGATTAACCAAAGCAAAGGAAAACGTCAGCTAGGAGTGGTGCCCTTAGTGATGGATGCCTATGATCACAGCCACTGGGGAGACTGAGGTATAGGATCCCGATTCCCTGAAATTGAGGTCAGCCTGGGTAACAGAGAACCTAGTTTCAAAAGAAACAGCTAAAAATGAAAGAGTAGGGTAAGTAGAAGACATTTCCACTGGAATGGCCCACTATCAAAAACTGTATGTTTTTTTTTAAAAAAAATGATATAGTTATATAATATTGATAAATAGTAGTAAGTGTACCAATGTACTGACTTTCTCCACCTTTTATGAGATTCAGCCAAAAGAACTCAATAGACATTACTTGGGCATGGTGGCATACATCTATAATTCCAGCACTCAGGAGGCTAAGGTAAAAGGTTCCAAGCCAGCTAGGGATACATGTAAATATATTGTGTCTCAAACAAATAATCAACTTACGTGTGAACACCATCTGTTTTTCTTTGCTCAAAAACTAAGGTTCTGCCCTCTGGTGAGGCAAGATGGAAATCAATATCTAATTCTGCTCCATCTAAAACCTATAGAAGAAAAAAAATACATATTACAAACTCTGAAAATAGAAACTTCTATAAAGTAAACCATGTGACATAAAGGCTTTTAAAAGATTCCATCCATCCATCCATCCATCCATCCATCCATCTGGCACAAGGTCTCTTTATGTTGCCTTGGCTGTCTTGGAACACTATGTAAATCAGGCTTGGCCTGCCTCTGCCTCCCTTGGAGTTCTGGGACTAAAGGCTTATACCACCATGTCCTACCTTTAAAAGATGTGTAAGTTGTGCTCCAACTTTTTCTGAGACAGGGTCTCATTACATAGCCCAGGCTGGCTTTGAACTCGACACCCTTCTCCCTAGCCTCCTGAGCATTTAGAATTACCGGTGTATGGCACCATTCCTGGCATTCAAGGGCATTTCTTACTAATAAAAAATATTTTCCCATCTGATTTCTTTCACTAACTCCATAATTGGTTTCCCTGCATCTCATTTTGCTTCCTTTAAATCTGCTTTTCACACTCCATCCAGCAATCTGCTTAAATCTTAGGTGTCTGCCAGGCAGTGGTGGTGTGTTGTGGGATTGTTGGGATTGGTGTAATAAAAAAGCTGAATGCCCAGTAGCTAGGCAAGAGAGGTAGGAGGGACTTCCAGGCAGAGAAAGACCCCTGGGAAGAAGAAAGGCCGATGGGTGGATGGAGATGAGATAACACCATGTGGCAGATGTAGATGTAGATTAGTATAAATGGGCTAATTTAAGGTATAAGCAGTGGGACAAGCCTATGCTAAGGCCATGGTTTTACAGTTAGTAAATCTGTGTTATTTGTGAGCTGGCTATCATGACTCACGCCTTTAATTCTAGCACTTGGGATGCAGAGGCAGGTGGATTACTGTGAGTTTGAGGCCAGGCTAGTTTACAGATCTAGGTTAAGGACAGCCAAGGGTGTTACACAGTGAAACCTGGTCTCTCAAAACCAAAAAGAAATAAAAAACCTTATGTGTCATTGCAAAGGGAAAAGCTATTATGAAGCACGTTATGGCTCCTTCTCTGTTGCCTAGCTGTGTGTCTATTTCCTATTTTGCTATTTCTACCCTCAGACTTTGCAGTGTTCAAAATAAAGACTTAATACTTACAGTACCCCTCTGAACACTCAAACTATACATCCTAAAATCAGTTTTTCCCTTTTCGGAAATTGTCCTCATTACTTGCATTATCATCTCATTTTCAGATTTAATTTTATTTTCTTCAACAGCCCTATTCTCTGAAAACCAAGAAATGACTATGTAATCTTACTTTATTGAAATTACCTGTTGAAGTAGGGTGTGGTGGCTCATGCTGCAATGCCAGTACTGGGGAATCCTGGGGAGGACTATAGGGGGAAATGCTGACCATACCCGCATGGGGGCTGGCACAGGGGATGCTGACCACGAGCTCTAGAGAGGCAGAGGCAAGCAGATCTCTGTGATTTCAAGGCCAGCCTATTGTGCAGAGTAAATTCCAGGACAGGCAAAAGTATACAGAGAAACCCTGTCTCAGAAAAATGAAAAAAGAAAAGTAAAAGAAATAGTTTTTAAAAAAGCTACCTAAAGATGGAAAATACACAGAGAGTCTGGATACTGTATGTTATAGTGGTGTCTTTAAATTTTTTGATTGCTGAGGAAAGAGCTATAGCTACTAAAATATATTTGATTATAAATGTTGCTGGGTTAATCCAACATATTTTGAAAATGCTTTGACTTCTAAATTTAAGTATAAGGATGGGTTACCTGGGAAAAGAGTTTCTCTTTTGTTTCCACAGTAAGTGAAAAGCTGTGGATTCCTTCCAGACTAATATGGTTTGATGAAGCAAGACCCCCCCCCAACCCCACCCCCAAGCAGTGTCCCAGGTGATCCAGCATCTAAAATGAAATGATTCAACCTTGCAGACTACTACAACAAGGACTTGGCCAGGTTTCTGTGTTTTCTAAGGATCCCCATGGTATTTCAACGATCCCTAACAGCAGGAAGTAGTTTGGAGAGAATGACGATGACCAATATCCCAAATATTGTTTGTAAATGTTTGTTTTCATTTAAATGGGGCTGGTTATAAATGGTTAAGGATCACAACCAATCTCTTTCTACAGGAAAAAAAAGATTATGATATAGAAGTGAATACTTTGTATTGGAATGGATTTTCATTTATTGATACAAATTTAAGGCCAATTTTGTTATATGTATATTTCTCCTCTTGTTTAGGTATTGTTTGTATAGCTCATTAAAAATGTAATATATAATTAAGTACAGATTATAGATAGTTACCTATATTATAGTTTCCTATAGTTAGGTTAGTTAGGTTTTCTAGATATATAGAGATATATTTAAAATGGATAGGCATTCTTCATACCTTTCAAAGACCTACATAATATGGCATTTAAAATGGTTTAGGGTTTTCATGACCGTGAGACACAACTGCTTCTGGCACACCAATTACTTCAGAGAGGAAGATTGGGCATCAAAGAAACTCACTATGGGAGTTTGCTTTCAATATGACAAGATTAGCCATTTGGGCAAGAAACTGCTCTTGTCTGGATTGCTTGACTGTATGCTGTTATGAACTGGATATGAAGGACCTGCAGGAGAGTGATTGCTGAAACAAGATGGGACAGTGCTGCAGAGTTCCTGCATCATGGAAGAGTCTGCCAGACATTCTGCAGGACACAGAAAAATGACTGACAAACTGCCAGGTGGACAGTTTGAAATTTCCTGCTTTGATGAGAAGTTTGTCAGACATGCTGTGGCCTATGGGCCAAAGATGGATGCCCCAACATTACAGAGGAGCTTCAGGTGACTGTCCAGGTAGTGAGATGTCTCTGTCAATTCTAGGGTTTGTATAATATCCTTCTGTGGTCTTTGATGGAGTTGAACACAGATAACATTAAGAAAACACTAAGTTTTCCTTAGTTATGATAAAAGATAAATTACATATAAGACTTTAGACTCACAAAGATATATTTTCTTTAAATCTTGCTAAATGTTAATGAACTAAATATTGTAACTATAGTTCTTACTTGATAACTGTTTTTGTTATATATAATTTTACTATGTTAAAACCTTTCTTTTTATTTAGACAGCAAAGAGGAGATGATGGGGTTGTCCTTCTACATGTGTTTATCTTATTGGTTGGTGAATAAAATAGGGCAACGAGATCGATAAGACTAGGAGAAGAGGAGGATTCTGGGAAACGTAGGCCGAATCAGTCTCAGTCTTCACGAGAGGAGTAACAGGTCCTGGACTCTTTCTCTGGTAAGAAGAGACCACGTGGAAATATATAGATTAACAGAAATGGGTTAAGTAAGACAGAGATAGCCAATAAGAAGCCCAAGCGAATGGCCAACAGTATTATAATTAAAAAAAAGAAAACAACTACATGGGAAGAATGCTGACAAAGTTCAAAGTTTTAATATACTATTATCCTATTGGGTTTGAAAGTAATGGATACACAACCGGGACGGAAATGGACCACTAACTCCCACAACATCTCCTTACAACACATTTCAAGAATGTGACTTAGAGGTATTCACATGGTCACAATTCAAAGTTCCTTAACAGAAGCAAACATCTTGACGATTTTATAATATTGGAATTTAGTTAAAGTGGTAAGGGTGATTCAAACAAGTGTCATCATTTCGTCCAACAACAACAACAATAAACGTGTGTCAGCCCCGTACTGTGAAGTCTCAAAATCTCAGTGTACACTAGCTAGGACAGCTGTGGGCGACTTAAGAAACAAAGACCAACGTCACCAGTGCTGGCCTCTTTCCGACCGGAGAAAAGGGAAGAGAGACGGGCTCAGTGTCAATTTTAGGACTGGCCAAACTTGTGAGCCTGGCTTCGTGCGCCTACGCAAGCTGAGCCGGCCAGCTTCCCAGGAGACCCTCCCCGGGTCCGGAAGTCTTCCCAGGCCGTGAGAAGCCCAAGGAAGGCCCGCTCGCTCCGGGACTTACTTGGTACTCGATCTCCAACGAGGCCTTCAGGGGCATGGGCTGGTAGAAGCATTCCTTCTGGCCGGCCGGGAGCGTGAAGGTGAAGTCGCTGTCCAAAGAGGGTCTGAAGCCGGCCGCCCCCCGCAACAGCGCCGGGGGCAGAGCGGCCAGGAAGAGCACCGGGAACGGCAGCCAGACACTCCGGCCCCCCATCCCTGCTCCTTCGAAGGGGAAGTGCTGTCCTCCACGGGGCTGGGCGAGGGCGGGCCTTTCTGTCGTTCCCTTTATGCACCCGCCCTGGGTTTCGGATCCTCCCTCGCTTCACACCAGACTTGGAGATTTTGGCTTCTTCCCTCACACACACACACCAATGAGCTTTGGCGGCGGTCATCATGGGAAATGTAGTCCAATATGAACCCGGACTTCTAGGTTTTGACTTCTTCCCTCACACAGACACACACCAATGAGCCCTGGCTGCGGTCGTCACGGGAAATGTAGTCCAATACGAGCCCGGCGTGAGGCCCATCCGTACCTCCAGCCTCATTTCCCGGCACGCACTGCGCTCCGGCGTCGTTTGCGGAGCCTGCGTGGGGGCGGGGCTTGTGGCAC